CTCAACATTTTGTTAGGGATACCGTTCGTGGCATGCTCTATTTGGCTCGGGACGTTCTTATGGCAGCTGTCGTTTGGTCTCTTGCCACTTATATCGACCCTTTCTTCGGCAAAGACAATGTCAAAGAGGTCCTTACACCCTCCGGTGCTGAGATTGCCCGTTGGGCAGCTTGGTCTGTGTAGTAAGTACTGATGTTTGGAGACTATAAATTACTCTGAGTTCGTCGACAGTTGGTGGTTCCAAGGCTTAATATTCACTGGCATCTGGGTTATCGGACATGAGGTTAGTTCCCTCAGTGCATGCGGTCGCACTTCGGCTAATGTTTGTTAAGTGCGGCCATTCTGCATTTTCTGATCACAAGATTGTCAACGATGTCATTGGCTTTGTAAGTAATTTTTTAGTGGCTGCTTAGCCCCTGAAGAAATCTTATCTACCCTAAAGATCACCCATACCTTCCTCTGGACCCCTTATTTCTCCTGGCGAATCTCTCATCACCGCCACCATTCCAACCATGCCTCCATGGAACGAGACGAAGTCTATGTTCCTAAAACTCGTGATGACCTTAACATTCCCACCAAGCCTCACGATGAGATTGAATGGGACGAAATTTTTGGCGACACTCCTATCTATACGCTCTTTTGTCTTGTTCGTCAACAGGTCCTGGCCTTCCCCGCCTATCTATGTACGTTTTCCTGGGACCTTTCTCGAATATTCCTAACAGATCATCTATTAGTGTACAACGTCTCGGGCCAAAAGAACTATCCAAAATGGACAAACCACTTCGATCGTGAGTGGCTTTTATGCTGCCTGCCAACTACTCGCTTATTCTTCTTCAGCCAACTCGATTCTCTTTACAAAGGAACAGCGCAATGCTGTGATTATGTCCAACATCGGGATCGCATTCATGGTTTGGGGTGTCACCTACTCCTCTTCCCTCTACAGCGCTGCGAATGTCATTAAGTACTACGGTATTCCTTGGCTCTGCGTCAGCCACTGGTGTAAGTCACGGGAGAAATTCTTTCAATCTGGGCCTAATTTTTGCAATAGTCATCATGATCACCTACTTGCATCACACTGATCCTACTCTTCCGCACTACCGAGGCAAGGAATGGAACTTCCAGCGTGGCGCCGCTGCTACTGTAGACAGAAACTTCCTTGGATGGCAAGGACGCTTCTTCCTCCACGACGTCGCTCACTATCATGTCATTCATCACGTACGTTTCCGCAAATTTATTTGAGAGGAAAATCCTGACGCGTTCGGATCGCCAATTCGCAGTTCTTCTCAAAGATGCCTTTCTGTAAGCTCAAATTACTCGCCGCGCAGATCCTGATAGCTAATCCTTCGACTTCAACTATTTTTGTTGTTCGTTCCTAATTTTACAGATCATGGCGAACAGGCAACTCAACACCTGAAAGCTTTCATCGGCGACCACTATGCCTACTCAGACAAACCTATTTTCAAGGCACTCTGGGAAAGCTACAACAAATGCCAATTTGTCGAAAATGAGGGTAACTTTATTTCTCGCACCAAATACACTCCTGTGATTCCTGACACGAAACCGTTTCCTCAGGTGATGTCCTCTTCTACCGCGATAAGCAAGGCCGTGCGCTGCGCCGCCCAGCGGAGCAATATACAGCTAAATCGAAGTCAGAGTAAATAATTAGGTTCTAGAAACACCCCACCCGCATTTTTACAATTCCAATGTATCGTAAACCATTAGACTCCTTGTGATTTCTACATCTCAAAATTGTTGTGAATCTATTTTCGTCGTACTCGCAATGATTAACACCGTGAATGTATGGTTGCCACCGTGAACGCTTAGCGGACCTTTTTTATGTGTGAACTCTGCTTTGTCTAAAGAACATGTTTGCTTATTGGCCGACATGCCCTTGCTTGTTGGCGGCATCTAAAGCCAAAGGCACCGACCGTATCGATTATCAGTTCAGAAGAATGAATGAGCCCAGATTTATGCACAAACGCAAAGTCGAGTATGTTCGATAAGTGTTAGGGGTAAATGAGCTCTATATATCTACGTGTCTATCTACAATTAGTTGTGTTCTCTAGTTTACGGCCACTTGCATATTGATCTGGCCAGGAATCACGGAGACGATAAAATATCAACCTGGGTCCTTGTAAGAGCCCGAGAAATACCCTATTTTTTCTTGGCTCCGACCCCTTTGCCGCCCCGTTTTGCGATTTCGAGGTCCTTCTTCCGTAGTCTGATACTACTCGGCGTGATTTCTACTAGTTCATCATCGCCCATATAGGCTAGTGCCTCTTCTAACGAGAGTATCCGGGGACTGGACAGAACAATCTTGTCATCGGCCCCAGCAGCACGGATGTTAGTAAGTTGCTTCTTGACACATGGGTTAAGGTACAAGTCGTTTGTCTTTGAAGATTCGCCGATCACCATACCCGGGTAGACTACATGAATGTGAGCGCTGTTCGATAGGGATTGGGTTTCAGATAACGTACCTTGTGTCTGAGGGTGAATAAAGAGCGTTCCGCGTGCTTGCAGTGGTGCCATTGCGTAGCCTGAAGATTCTCCGCTCGTCATCGAGATCAGAGCTCCGTTTCGACCTGTATCGAGTGCACCTCTATAAGGCTCGTAACCTTTGAAGATATGGTTTATTGTCCTAAAAGAAGATCAGTAGTCAATAACTGTAGCTGACAAGTATAACTTACCCTTGACCATGCACGTCGTTCTTGAATTCGCCAGCCATGTACCCAATCAAGCCTCTTGCCGGGACTTCCATCACAATCCGCACCCAACCTTCTTCAGGGTCACCGGACTCGTATGTGATCATCTCTCCTTTGCGCATTGTGAGCTTTTGAACCACACTACTGGCGTACTCTTCTTTGACTAAAACCGTACATTCTTCGATGGGCTCCAAAAACGCTGGTCCGGATCCAGTGCGATCAGGATTAGGTATCATCAATGCCTTGGGCGGCCCGACACATATTTCATAGCCTTCACGGCGGAGAGTCTCCAACAAAACACCAAGGTGGAGTACACCGCGTCCCCGAAGTTCCAAAGACTCTGCTGTCGGTCCCGGTAGGACGGTCAAGGCCACGTTTGTCTCGGCTTCCTTGTAAATGCGTTCTTTGATCACCTGAGAGGTAAGCTTGGAGCCTTCTCTTCCTCCAAGGGGCGAGTCATTCGTAAAGACGTTGAGAGAGATAGTAGGTGGATCAATTGGGGTCGTGGGCAGAGGTTTGGGACCGTCGGCGCCCCACCCTTCGGGTTGAACGAGTGTACAGTTGACACCACCACCACCCGTGAGCTTGATACCGGCAATGCTGACAATCTCGCCCGCACCAGCGGCTTCTTTCTCTACTCTTTCCAATCCTCGTCTCCCAAAAATCTTTTTGACCTTCCCTTCTCCGACCTTGACGCCCTGGGGATTGAGTGCGTGAAGAGTGTCACCAACCCGAAGAATGCCAGTTTCTATCCGGCCCAGAGAGAGGGCACCAACGTAAGGGTCTGCCTCAATCTGCACAGTGAGCATTGAGAAAGGACCTGACCGCGAAAGATGGGTCGGCGCAGGAACATGGGACATGATGAGGTCGAATAATGGTGTCATGCTGGGAGCGGAGGAGGGTGCGGTAGCTATAGGCATTTCGGACTGCGCCCAGCCCTGTTTAGCAGACGCGTAAACCAGAGGATAGTCAGCCTGTTCATCTGTCGCGCCTAATGTTGCGAAGAGATCGAAGAGGTCGCATTCGACTTGCTGAGGGCGCGAACTTGGTCTATCGGCTTTGTTCAAAACGACCAAGGGCCTACAGAAAGGTTCAGCCACGAGGAATTTGCCAAAGCGTACCAAGAACAAACTTTAAACCTCTACTAAGAGCCTTTGAGAGGACGAATCGCGTCTGCGTCATTGGACCTTCAGTTGCATCGACCAGAAGCGCAACACCGTCGACCATGTTCATAATTCTTTCCACTTCTCCACCAAAGTCAGCATGTCCCGGAGTGTCGACAATATTGATAAGGTCCCCGTTATAGTCAATGCTCGTGCATTTGGAAAGGATGGTGATACCACGTTCACGTTCCAGGTCATTAGAGTCCATCATGCGAGTGACGAAGCCGTTTTCTATCTGGCTGTCAGCAGTCATACTGCTTCCAGAAGCCGCACCAATTGAGGACGAGGGAGTAAACATTAGCTGTTCTGTCGCTGACAGTTGTTTCACGGTTCCCGACTGTCGAAGAAGCTGGTCCACGAGAGTTGTTTTACCATGGTCAACTATCGGAAGAGTCAGAGGTCAGATGAAATACCGGTGATGATCAATAGAGATTGACCAAGACATCTCACCCACCATGGGCGATAATAGCAATATTCCGAATGCGTTCCTTCGGAATGAGCCTGTCAACGTTTTTGTCGGGTACTTCTGAAGCTTGCCTACAAGATTGGCCAACTGAGAAATGTCTAGCTATCGGAGAAGCGAGCCTTCGTGAACATGTATTGCGAACGGCCGCAAACATGAGGAAAAAATCTGCGCTGGTGGTGGCAGGAAACTGCTCTACGGGTCGGGACGCGTCTACACGGAGGTGGCTCGAAAGTTTTCTCGCGTCTCGGAATAACACGTGGCTGCCTAATATTGATCAACCCTCCCTGGATTTCAGGAAACTGAACTGCTACCCATAGCAAGACAATGTCGAACCTCTGTCCATCCATGTGTAAGGTATGTCCATAGCTCTTTGAATGAGCTTTCCTTCGAAGGTAGCGCTGATAAAATGATAGCGGCTTATATAGTGCGTGGGTGCATCCTGAAGAGGATCTGAGACTGATATCGATTCGAATATTGGAATGTTCCCGACATTAAACTATCTATACATAACCAGGTGTAAGCAATTCACAATCCGGTATGGTGTAACGGCTAACATTACCGCCTTTCACGCGGTAGCTCGGGGTTCGATTCCCCGTACCGGAATAACTTTTTCCTTTCTGAAGACCTTGTCGTGCGGATGGTAATCTTTAGTGTGCCTCTTTCTACCATGTCGGGTATGGTGTAACGGCTAACATTGCCGCCTCTCATGTTTGAAGTTAGATCGCGGCAGCTCGGGGTTCGATTCCCCGTACCCGAACTTTTGGTCGGGTTGTACTTACCTTTACGCACACTCCAAAGATGAAATTGTCATCTTTGAAGAACAGTCATTTTTTGACATCTGTGCTTTAAATTTAAGACGGTCTCTTTATCTGCTTTTTATAAGCTGTTGTCGGTTCAAACTACCTTCCCCACGACAATCTCACCAATCGCTTCCCGAAAACAAAACGTCAACTCATCTCATACTAACTATCTCAAACATCACTGACTTCCGACCTTACTCAATATCATCTCGAAGTACTGCTTGGTATCTGTCAGCCAGTGGGAAGAAGCAAACGTAAAGGACATCTTTCCAGACCATACCAGTGACAATGTTGCTGCTTGCCAGGCGCTCGGAGGTATCCAAAAAGTAGAGGCTCGTCTGGACTCGGAGATACTTCTAAACCGAAGTGAGCATGAGGTAGCATATTTAATCATAGTAAACACTACTAGAGGTAACTGGTAGGAGCTCGGCAACGAGCATAGCCAAGGTTAAATGTAGATTAAAGGTCGCAAATGGCAGATCTACTGTACGTGAAGGCTTGAGATGGTGGTTCAACGTAACTTCCTGGAGTTGACTTTCTCTCTCGACGATACGGACAAGATAGACATAGTACGATTCGAAGCAAAAGTGCATCTCCAACTGGGAGTCCTGAACGCATCCAGCATGAACGAGTCGTCGACTACATCTCGACAGTATCTACACAAGTCAGCCGTCGTAAATGAGAAAAGCTCCAGACACCGACCAATAAGGAAGGCGAGGGGTGAACAAAAATTCATTAATTCGATGCACCTTCATTATCCTAAATAGTACAGCCAATCCAAGGCTCTCATCCTCGATCGGCTTTCAGTCATGGAAAAGCTCGATTCGCTGACCTGGATGCTGTCGTTGCTGATCTAAGCGAATGCTCCCTCCTCGCTCAAAATACAGGAGCCCACCTGCCTTCCTTGATGAGACGCTCATAAATTTCATTCCGATCCTGACGTCGTTAGTTTTATATTCAAAGCTGCAGATATTCTTTCGTTCTGAGACTCACATTAAAGGCATGGTCAAATTAAATTGCAGTTATAGCTGATACGATCTGCAAGGAGGTTGGCAAGCGAGTGTCTTTGACGGATAAACAGCCAACGCGGAGCATTAAAAGAGAGAATAGCAAAAGGAATATGAACATAACGAAACAGCGAGTGAAGTACCAGTTGCAAAGACTTGGCAGAACAATTACGCATGCAAAGAAACCAATTGGCGAGAACAATGACGCTACCAGGGCTTACTTACGCTGATATTTTCATATCAACATATATCACTCGGCTGGTCGAGACACGAGCATCGAGCATCGATCAAATGATTTGATCAACAACGGAACCTCGATTCTACGGAGTACTCGGCATCAAAAAAAGGCATCTATTCAGATAATACGTCTCTTCATTTGTTGTACGTTTTGAATCATTCAAGAAAATCTTGATGTCACATGCAACCGGTATGCCATTTAGTTTATTGTTTCAGCGGTTCATCCAGGACCATTCCGCTTGGGCATCAAGCCAAACCAAAAGCCAAGTTTCCGGAGCTTTAAGTCGGATCTGAAGTCTTCCTGAGACCAGCTGTGCTAATGAAATATTATTAAGCCAAATGCAACTCAAAGGGTGAATTTCGGAGTGTCATACGTTAAAAACAGGCGCAGTTATACTGTACTTCCATTCCATTCATTTTATTACTTTGACCAGTACAATAGAGAGAAGTACCTCCTTGAGGCCTGTTATGCCTCATTTATCCCAGTTCTAAGCTTTTATATCGACCTCGTTTTTACGTATTCACAGTCAATTTCCTTCACCAGTACGGTGGCGTTTTCTTGATACTATAAGCTGTCTTGTAATGGGAATGGTGCAGACTTTCAGAGAGTAAGATAGTACATTCATAAGAACTAAATGAACTGGCATGTACGAGTTTCAATGGGAAATTATTGAGCTAGTGCTTGTTTACACCCATCTTTACAGCAGACCTTAAATGATGCATGATGCACGATCACTGATGCGGCGGCTGATCTTGACACAGCCTTTTATCGCATCAGCTTTGCATGTGCTTTCCGTAAAAGAAATACCAAACCTTGGGTTGGCTGATCAACGATTCGTCTTCCTTATAATGTTATATGTCGCTCCCTCGTTGTTTTTGGTTTGATAAAGGGACGGTGCCAATCATGAATTCTGAACCTAGAACAGCCGGAGGAAGGTGAGAACTACACTTACAATTATGAAGATCAACAACGGCGGGAGAGTTCAAGCAAGCTACAGGGCTGGCACTTCACTTGTCTGTGGAATGTTCTTGCTCGTGAGCAATATATTCGCAAGTCCACCTCTGAGAGCTGAACCTCCTCCCATTAATAGTAATGTTAGTAATTTGTTTTTGGTGGTCATTTATTTCCAAGGACGCCGCTATCACGTTAACAAATGTCTCGAGTCAATAGATTTGGGGATACTTGTGGCTCCAAGTATTGATTATTTGCCACGTTAATTGTGGACTATAGGGTGAGAGCTCATTTACCAGGGCAAGGAGGACTTCTCAAACGCGAAGAGAAACCGTACTTCGCTCTCAAGTTGGCGCCAAGTTGCGTAGAAAGCAAATATTGTGCCACAGAGCCATACCTTCAGGGGAATGACGTAGTTATTTAACTTTACCATCATCAAGACCCGAGTCTTCGCAACGAAGTTGATTCCCGAATGGGAAAGATAGCTTGAGAGTAACAGATTTTGTACAAGTGTTCTGAGATTTATAAGCTGTCTGTTATTTGAACTAAAGTTCAAAATTTGAGTGGTGTTAGTCTTCTATGTGCGCCTCTTTTAAGTATTTTGTTGGCGCAACTAAGCTACAAAGCTTTGATCGTGGACAAAAACAGATATAACGTTTTCGTGGGAATAGTTGACCTTTTCCGAGAATCGTCGGAGATTTTACTTGGTTTAACCTTCTCGCTTCATAATGACCACTGGCTCCGCGACTAACTTGACCTGTTTTTTTTTTCGCTTGGTGGTACCCGCATTGGCAAGTACGGGAATGTAACGAGAGCTTGCGTAAATCAATCCAACGAAACTGTGGGTCGCGGTGGTGTACATGTACAGCAAAGCAATCAAATGTTATTAAAGAACATGAAACTATACCCAGCATAGTCTTCATACAACAGCGAGCAACTCATACAAGCGGTAAAAAGAATGATGCAGCCTTCGACACCCCTCCTAGAATTTCAAGTCAGGATGCTCCTCACGTAATTTCGCAAGCGCAACCCTAGCGGCTTCATTCCTCGCTTTCTTGATGGTGGAACCGAGACCTCTTCCATATTCGGTATTGTTGACTACCCATGCAAGCAAGATCATTAGCAGTTCTCAGAAAGCACTGGATAGTGGACCACTGACTTTTCACAACCCATTCGAAGATGGCGGCATGCTCTGGGCCAATTACCTGTTCTTCTTCCCATGTAACGACGGCCGTCGTCCCATAGAGGATGTCGCAGGCTCTGGCGAGGGTGTTACGAGGATCTGGAGGCGACATTAAATAGGTGCGCCCCCATTTTAGAGAATAGCTTACGGCTATCTGACATATGGCTTGCTGTACAGTGAGGATAGAAGATTTTCAGGGCGTTGATGCTAAACACGCTGAGAGCTCGCCTTTTATTTCTAGTGGTGTTCACTTTCTAGGGGTCGAGGCATGCAGAAGAAGCACTGAGCGCTTGAATCACGATGTAAGGGCCGATCACCCTTGCATCATTTGGCTTGTCATTCATTAATCGTTTTCTGTGCAAATACTATTGACTAGCTTCCTCTTCCGACAGTCATCGCGTTGGTATTGAGGTTCTTATCGCATGAAGTATCTTGGCCAGCGTCCTTACAGTTGAATTAGCATTGAGAGCATATCCGTCAATCCGTGTTCACAAAGAAATTAACGGACAGTGGTTAGGGATTTTGAGTGGTGGGTCGTACGATCACTAGACTGTGATAAATTATGGGGCATGACTCTCGCAACCCTGTATCAATAGCACGAAACCCCATGACTAAATTCATCGATGCTCACATCGATTTGCCCGGTAAGTAGTCTGGGTGGCACATTTGTTCTCGCCAAATAGATCACAGTCGTGAGGACTCCTCAGCTACAAAAAATGATAAAATTTCTTGTATTTAGACGGTTGAACCCGAATGAAGAATCATTCAATATAATTCCAGTAATTTACTTAGTTTTATCTGATTTTGTGAACGGTACACTGCATACCAAGAGTAATCCTACTAACCAAAGGACTATCTCAACACATTTGGGCTCCAAAATAGCCAAAAAGAAAGAAAAATCTTTCTGTGGTTATAGCGATGGAGTTAAGATCAAATCAGTTTTTGACCAGCCAAGTCAGAGAATCTTTTACCTACATTCAATTAGATAACAGCATCTGGGTACTCGTTCTTCAGGCTTTCCAGAGCCAAAGCAGCAGCGCGATTTTTCGCAATCTTGATGCTTGTTCCTTTTCCTCGTCCACGTTCTATTCCGTTTACTGAAATATTGTCAATACAGTAAGAAATTGAGCATAATGGCTCTCACGTTTTACAATCCATTCATGCAGAGTTTCGTGTAATGGTCCTGTTGTATCACCCTCTTCCCAACCAATCACATGAGTGCCTCCGAAAAGTAGGTTACAAGCGATGGCAAGGTTATGGCGAGGATCTAAAATATATAAACTCGTCACGGTACAATCTACGGAGACGAACAAACAGCCAGCTTACGAGTTTCCATTGGAATAATCTTTACAGAGTGTAAGTGAGGATGCTGGTTGCTGGTTAGCTACTCTACCCCACCGCCTTTTATCATCCACTGTTGGTGGCCTGTTCTTTGACCACAATCTAACTACTAACAGTCAATCTTCTCATTGCTCGAAGTCGGATTGCCGTAAGAGATAGGCGTATGCTCAGTGACCTTAAGCTACTCCATGGGACCTAATCGTAATTTACGGTGAACTTACTTACTTGTGGGTCGTA